TGAACATTTTAAAGATTACACTGCTTTGAAATATTTTTGAAAATGCAGATTCTAATCAAGTATATCAATTTATTCTTACCTTTTCTATCAAGGAATGTTGGTCTTGTTCCCAAATAAAATTACCAATTTTTCTTCTTATTTCTGTGATAGTAAGAACAAATCCAATAGTATTTTTTTAAAAAGTAACTTTGTAGAATTTTCTGACTTTTGCTTTTCTGAAATTTCTAGGCCAGAGTTTTTTCCGCTTGCATCAAAATCACCTAAGATACTTGTTTAAAATGTAGATTCTTATTGAATCAGATCATTGAGGAGGCACTCAGCAATTTGCATTTCTAACAAACTCCCCAGATGATTCTTATACATTATGAGAATCATTGTTGTAGATGTTTCCTGCTGGAATATATATCTTCATTAGATGTCAGTGACTTTAGTCCAAGCATTAATAAAGAAGACCTTTGACCAGTAAAAATAAAAAGAATGAAATTCCTGAATTTGTACAGCAGAGTCCTCAAGAATTAAATAATTTACTTTGCTAAAAGATTAGGGGGTGGGTAACATGTCTAGTAAGCATGGTACTACGTCATCATCCTAGGTCAATGACCTCAAACATTAGCTTGCTGGAGGACAAAAAGGGTAGCATTCCTCTAGACCTATGCTGTCCAGTACAGTTGCCACTAGCTACATGTGGAAACAGCATTTGAAATGTGGCTAGTCCAAAGTGAGATGTGCTGTAAGTGTAAGATAAACACTAAATTTGGAAGACTTGATATAAAAAATGAATGCAAAATATCTCAATAATTTTTATATTGATTACATGTTGAAGTGATAATATTTTGGATGTATTGAGTTAAATATACTATTAAAATTTATTTCACCTATTTATCCATTTCTTTTTAATGTAGCTACTAGAATATTTAAAATTACATATGTGGTTTGCATTTGTGGCTCACATTTTTACTACGTAGTACTGCTCTAAATGGATTAAAAAGATACATAATTTTTATTTTTAAGGGGCAAGTTTCTATTTAAATTACACTCAAAAATTTTTTTTAAATATGTTTTAATGTAAGATACTAAACTCAAAGGCAGAATAGGAGCGATAATTTAAAATCAGATCAGACAGTCATCCTACAATATGAGCTCCCTGAAGCCGGGGACTACGTTGTTTTCACTGCCTGGCACAAACAGTGTTTGGATAAATCAATTCTCCCATCCAGTCATTAATTTATTTGCATAACCACTTAGAACAGTTTTATAACTGTCTTACCAGGACATCAACTATGGAGAGAACTCAATTTTTAAGATTTCTAAAGGTTCTTCTATGGAAATATTTTTCAAGGGTTGTTTGTTTTTTATACTCTGTTCACTGAGAATTTATATGCGGCTTCAGTCTGTCTTTCTGGAGATAGTAATAATGCAAGACCTATTAAAAATGTGATATCTATAAAAGATAAATAAAATTTAGACAGAATAACAGGATAAGAAAGGGTGTTCCAAGAAGGGGAAACTAAAATAACAAATTCCAGAAACAGATTCCTTATTGACTTGCACTTCCTACTTCACAGGGTTGCTGAAATAATTAATATGAAAGTACTTTCAAAAGTATAAAGAACAATACAAACATATGGGCTTAATATCATGGCAAATTTTTAAATATTGGAAGAAAAAACTCAGAAAATAATAAAGAGATTTAAAACTAGCACAGAACACATTTAGTGAATATTAAATGCTCACTATTTCAGACACCTTAATATGTTATCTCATTTAATCTTCAGAACAACCCAAGAGAGGTTAAATAACTTGCTAAAGGTCACAAAACTAGTAAATGTTGGATTGGCTCCTAACCTGTGAGCACTGTGAGGGCAAGGTCTCCATCAGCATCTGGTACACAGTAGGAACTCAATGACTATGTCAATGAACAACTAACAAACAAAAGCCAGGCTATAAACCCAAGTCAATCTGATCCAAAGTCCATGCTTTTTCCACTTAAATGATACAAATCTGTGATTGAGAACAAAGATCAATAAAGTTGGGGAACCTGTAACTAGATTAGGCTGTCTAACAGGGATTGGTTGAATAATCTTTGCTAACCTTTTTGCAAGCAAGCAGGAGGAAGAACGAAATGACCTAATGCCACTGAGTTCTTTATTTCAGCATTAGCTACTGCAGAAAGATAGTAGGCATGAAAAACTGTAGCGTTATCTTCTATGTAATCAATGCTCTGATATATTCTAGGAGAAGGAAAGAAAATATTTTAGTTTATGAAATAGCCAAGAATGTATTCAATCTCTCAATTCACCTTAAAAACCAAAGAATAACTTGAATTAGGGGAGGATTACATCAAAGGGCACATTCACGCTGGTCTTTTTTTTTTTTTTCTGGCAAGAAAGTAAAAACACATGCTGTTACTAGTTTTCTGGTCTAAATCTAGGCAAATCTCAGCTTTAGAGACTTGGTTAATGATCAACTGAATTTAGAAACTTGATGTAAAACAGTATGTTGTTTACTGGACATCAACAGCCCATGAGTTTTATCCGTAGTCATTACTATAAAGAGGGATCAATTAACTCTGGGGTGAGAGAGGGGGATGTAGTTAAGGAAGCCTTCACACAGATGGCAAGATTTTTCCTAGTCCTTGAAAAAGAACATAGAGATAAGAGGAAGGGCATTACAAGAAGAAAGAAAGGTATGCATGAAGGCACAATAATGAGAAACCGCTGGGCTTGGAAAAACACTGGCAATAATCAGAAAAATGCAAATTTTACCGTAATGTAATATCACTTCTCGCTCTTCAGAATGGCAAAAATTACAAAGACTTATATTTCTAAGTATTGGTAAATGTTTCAAGGAAACAGGATGTCATACATTGCTGTTGAGAGTGTAATTTGATGCAACTATATTGGAGAACAATTTGGTAGTACCTATTATATTTTAAAATGTACATGCCCTAAAACCCAGCGATTTTACTTGCATATATAACTCTCTTGTCTGTACATAAAGATCATATATAAGGATTTTCTTCAGCACTCTTTGTAAAAAGCAAAAATTGGAAATCTGTCTACAGAGAAATGGACAAAGTGTTATATCCTACAATGCAACAGCAGTTAAAAAGGAATGAACCAGACCAACTTGTATCGGTATGAATTAACACTTGAAAACATTGAGTAGAAAAAGCAAATTGCAAAACTATACATTATGATATAATTTTTGTTCATTAAAAATACCCCACAAGAACGTTTATTTGTTCTTCAAGGGTACCCATATATGTACCCACGTATATATAAAAGGTATTTGAAAAAAATGAACCAATTCATAGCAACAATGCTTGTTGGGAGGGAGCGAATGAATCTGGGATTGAAAACCAAACAAGATTTTGTTAGGTTTATGTTAGGTTTTTGTCTTAAAAAGACATGAAGAGAATTTGATAGAATGTTAACAACCATCACTTCTGGGTGAGTACACAAGTGTTTGCTGTATTATCTGTACTTTTCTATTTTAATTAATTTTTAATTTTTTCAAATCCTAAAAAATTAAAAGGGAAGGAAGGTAAAAACTCTGGTGATCTGGCAGTTCAGGTTGACTGGACTATGGAAGCCACCAGAAGAAAAACTGCGAAATATACAAGATAGGCCAGGCCAAGAAGAAACCTGGATCTAAAAATGTAGGTAATCAGAAGACTCTGAAAAGAATGGGGGCAGAGCCAGGGCGGTGATCAGACCTGTTTTGTAAACGTAAACTGACCAGCTATGTGAAGGGGGACGGTGAGTGGAGATTCGAGGCAGAGCAGCCTCCTCGGAACTTACTGCGATAGCCTGAGCAAGAGGCCATTAGGATGCATATTAAGATAGTGGCAGTGAGAATGAAGAATTTTCAGCGGTACAATCCATGTAATTTGGTGTTGACTGAATAATGCAGGGAGAGGGGTTGTTAATCAAAAGAAACTACAAAGGTTTTAAGTTTGAGAACACAGGACCTAGTGCAGGCGTGAGGAATAATGAAATTTGGTTTAAACATACTGAGTATGGGGGCCTTCCAGGTGCCATGTGGAGATGTGGGAGCGACTGCTGGAAACAGTCCTCTGGAATTAGGGAAAGACCAAGCACCCACGGAGGCCAGGTCTTTGGAGCAGAAAGGAGAGAAGATAGGTTATCCTCTTTTTTTTTTTTTTTTACATCTAGGACTGAAAGCTTGCTTGTTTCCAGCCTCTTCTTATCATCAATGTTTATTAACGGACTGCAACTTCCATCCCCAACTCTTGGCTCATCATGACACAAGGGCCACTGCCAGGTGGCTTTTAGGTACCTCCGCGTGTCTGGGTGTGAGGCGTCACAGCTGAACAAGAATTCGGCGGCCCGCGGATCACTGATCGTCCCCCCTTCTGCCACTGTGGAGGCAAGAGCACAGGGTGAGCTTAGCAGGCACCCTGAGGCCAAAACACCAGGGGGAGGAAGGAGTGCTCCCCTCACCACCCAACCCACCCCTTCAGCACAGCTTCCTACCCCACAGCTGCCTCAGATCCGAGCTAACGCTGCGACAGAACCAACCCCGCTGGCCTTGGAACATGGCGCCGCCTTCACGAAAGGACATTGGGAAAGAATGGCCAGAGCCGAGCTCGCTGATTGGTCTCAGGCTGGAGCCGAGCTCGCTGATTGGTTCTTAAGAGCAGGGGCGGGAAAGGTCTGAAGCACAGGGAGAAAAGATCGGTAACTACCAGGCTGAGGTGACCAGCTGTTTGGATTGTTTAGAAGTCTCTCAGTTTTCCATCGATACCACGGAGAAGTACTCTTGCTTGTGAGTTTTAAACCTTGAATATTAACATAGGCATTGTGCTGTGTTGTACAGGCATGGACACAGGTTCCGCAACATCAAGTGTTACTTTGAAGTGAAACATATTTTATATCTATAAATGTTTCAATTTGAATCTCTGAAAGATGACTTTAAAAAAAAAGTCTTTTCACTTCTAAAAAATAACAATAATCCTTTACTATAGTCAAGTAGCACCAGTGTTCAAATTATCAATTTTCTCAAAATTATAATTTTTTTTTACAGTTTTTTCCCCTCTTACATCAATTTTGATAAATTATATTTTTTCTGGTGTTGGGTCTATTTAATCTAAAATTTCAGTCATTAATGTAAAGTTCTTCATAAAATCTTTTATTATCCTTTCTAATGCTTGCAGACTCTGTAGTGACAGTTCCTTTTTCATTTCTGATACTGGTTTTTTGTGTCTTTTTAGTCACACTAGAGGTTTGTCAATTTATTAGTCTTTTCAAAGGATAAACTATGAACTTCTGGCTTTGTTGATATTCTCTCTTATATATTTCTTTTGTCTCTAATTTCTGCTGTTTATGATTTCCTTCTACTTCCCTTGGTTTTAAATTGTTCCTTTTCTAATTTCTTGAAATATATGATTGATTTTCAGTCTTTTTGTATTTCTAATATGTGCATAAACCAAAAAATCAAACCAGTTCCTGTTGAGTCATGGCAACCCCGTGTGTGTCAGAGTAGAACTGTGCGTCATAGGGTTCTCAATGGCTGATTTTTTAAAAAATAGATTGCCAGGCCTTTCTTTTGAGGAGCCTCTGCATGGACTCAAATCCCCAACCTTTCAGCTAACATGTGCATATAAGGCTATACATTTCCCTTTCAGCTCTGTGCCACAAGTTTTTGAGATGTAATTTTTCATTATCATTTAATTCAGAATATTTTCACATTTCCAATATGAGTTTTTTGATCCATGGATTATTTGAGATATTTTTCAGTTTCCAAATACATGTGATTTTCAAGTTACCTTATTGTTATTGATTTCTGTTTAAATGCATTCAAGTCAAAGAATATGGACTGTGTGATTATAATCCTTTGAAATTTGTTGAAATTTTTTTTAATGACTCCAGTGTATGGTCAGTGTTCTCTATGTGTGTTTAAAAAGAATGTTCTGCAGTCGTTGGATGTTCTGGGGTTGTTGAGTGCAGTGTTCTATATACGTTCACTGGGTCAAGTTTGTTAATCATATTGCCTGGTTCTTTTATCAATTACTGAGAGAAGGCATGTTATTTATGGAGTTAGTAATTTTTCTTGTAGGTCTGTTTATTTTTGCTTCATATATTTTCAAATAATGTTTTTAGGTACATGCAAATGTATACTTGTTATTACTTTGTAGTTGATTAAATCATTAAGCATTTAAATACGAAATACAATACTTTAAAATATATAGAATAAAATACAGGATAGTATATTTTTGAACTCAGGATTTGTTTTGATAGGTGCCGTTGAGTCAATTTCGATTCATAGCAACCCCATATGACAGAGTAGAACTGTCCCATACGGTTTTCTAGGCTGTCATCTTTACAGGAGCAGATTCCCAACTCTTTCTCCCAGCAGATTCAAACCACCAACCTTTCTGTTAGCAGCGGACCACTTAACCCTTCCACTACCAGGACTCCTTGACCTCAGGGTTTCCAATCAGAGTAGGAAAGGAATTTTTTAAACAAGACAAAAAGAGTATTAACAATGAAAGAAAAGATAGATAAATTTGACTACATTAAAATGACAAATTTCTGTTTATCAAAAGCACCATAATTGGAGTGAAAATACAAGTCACAAAATGAGGGAAGATACCTGCAAACACAAATAACCAACAAAGTATCAGTATCCAGAATATATGTCACCCTGTGAATCAGTGGGAGCCCTGGTGGCACAGTGGTTAGGAGGTCGGCTGCTTACCAAAAGGTTGGCAATTTGAATACACCAGCCGCTGCTTGGAAACCCTATGTGGCAGTTCCAGTCTGTCCTGTAGGGTCGCTATGAGTCGGAATCAACTGATGGCAATGGTTTGTTTGTTTGTTTGTTTGTTTTTTTAATGAATCAGTAAGAGACAAACATCCCAATACAAAAAAGGGCAAACACCTGAATAACATTTCACAGAAGAAGAAACTCATACGACCAATAAACTTATGAAAAGATGTTCAGCTACAGTGGTAATCAAGGAAATGCAAACTAAAACCACAATGTGATACTGTTACATACCCACCTTATTGGTAAAAATTGAATTAGCAAAGACATAGAGTAATGGGAACTCCCAGTGTTAGTGGGACTGTAAATCGGCACAATCACTTTGACCAATTCAGCATTACTTAGTAAGGTTGAAGATGCACATACTCTTTTATCCAGCATTTATTAGGTGTATACCTAGAGAAACTTGCTCCCATGTACCAGTAGGCA